CTGTTGAAAGGTTTGGTATGCCGTGTTATAATGCGTGCATAGTAACGATATATCCTTTTACACATTGGTATAATGAAAAAAAATCGTCACACCTGTTTACGAGATTAGTGATTATATCTTATAGAGTAAGGTATATCGCTTTCTCTAAAAATTTTGGGACCATCCTTACATCGATTTATGTGTATTTCTTTATCAGTCAATCTTCCTGTCCACTGCCTTTTTCCTGCTGATGCGGTTACGTCAGAGTAACATTACCCCATTCTATTATGAGGGGCTTCCGTTAATTTGAATTCAATCTCCCTCAGTTCCAAATCTGACTATGGTGAAGAGCGCTAAAGAGTTGATTCCGCGCGGGCGTAGTTGTCATGCTTCTACGACGGCTTAAGTCACGGATTGCGGCAACCTTTGATTTTCAGAACAATGCACTCAAAATCCAACATGTATAAGGAAGCCATTTCTTATTTGGCAGACTCCGTAATAGGATCCGAGAGATTGCATTCTGCAATCTCACAAGTGGTTGCATGAGAGGGCTCGCATTTCTTATATTGCCTTGGATTCCTCGAGAACCACTCGCTCTTACAGTTCAGCGAATTTATCCGTTAACCGCGGAAAATGTTTCTGGAGATTAACTGAGAATCACGAGCGCGAATCCACTGTGGTTTCATTAGCGGAAGGAGGCCACTTCAAGGCTCCAGGTGAAAGAGCTTCGATATCGAAGGCGCTTCATCTCAGGTGTCTTAGGTCAACGACAATATTACCGTCAATATGAGACGACAGCGCAGGCCAACACCGCTGAAAGTAACCGGTTAGCGGCCCAAGCGGAAAAGGTATTACCAGAGAGACTTTTAGATGTTATCGGATGGTCGTACATATTTTTTTGGAGACAAGTGGTGGTGGAACGCCAGAATGACCCCAATATGTGCTGAAACCGTTCTTTGGCGAGAATTTAGCAGAATTAGGGTTAAACGTCCCGATTCGTGCCAGCATGCATGCCTGCCAGATTGTGGTAGTCATTTTCCTCTGTTTGTTCGAGGATCTACAACCTGACACTAATACACATTCTTTACAGAACGGGATGCTGTGAGCTCGGAACTGACACTGCATGAAATGATGCAGTCGTGGTCCTGCTTTGCCTATGGGCCGATGCTTCCATATCAGAGTTCTTTCCGACCACCACGGACACGCATAGTAGCTGAACAAGATGAAGAATAGCGTCAGCGGTGACTCATGATATTTTATGGGAATTTGACCTGCCACTATCCATCAGCCATTGGTGAGATGGAGATCAATCTAAAAAGAAAATCTTCCCCAAATTAGCTTAAACAGTTCAGGCCGCGATTATCTGTTTAAAAACCTTGGACAATTCGCTCACAGATGTATGCCGGATTATCTCTTTGGAACCCGGGTGAAAATCAACTGGCTGTTGCGAGACAAAACAAATTGCACAGACCTTAACACTTCCCATTCAGAAGACGGATTCGTATGGACTAAATTCCATTCTTATCTGTGGCAAGCCGGTGTCCGGATATAGCCGCTAACTCTTTGTTGGCTGGTTTTCCTGGCTATTTATTGGCTAAAAAGGTGCATAGTTCCCTACCAGTCCTCTTGAATGCAGCGATGCCAATGGAAGTATTACTATCCAGCCGATTCCAGTACTACAGGTCGTCAAATTATTCCTTGCTTCCCGCTATGGTGCGCTGCTATTGCACAGTGGTTACGGCATAATCTCTGTGTTTACCCAGGCAGAAAAAAAGAAACCTCCGCCAGACTTATCAGTCCGAAACTCTGGAGCCTGGCCATATACTTATCTACATGCCTGGTTAGTACTTCACGCCCGATTTAATGGAAGCCCTAGCGGTGATAGATCCGCAACCATTCGCTCTGTTGAGGAATTTTGACTGAGTTGATTGGACTACTCTGCGAGCCAGGGCCTACAGGTAAGCTTCACTTGTATGGGCATCTTACCTTGCTTCCTCGCGTTCTCCGGCTACCTATAAACACTACTTTATTTGATGCCGAAGATCAAGCAGAATCGCAGCCAATCTTGGATGTTGGTGGCCTTCAGATGGTGATAAACATTCGACCTGGCTATTTGCTTATTTAGGCGTAAAAAGACGTTTGTCATATTGCCCTATCTTCCATGTGATTTGCTCTCGCTCAATTCGGCTATTCGATCAAATTTTATGTCGGCAACCCGAATCGTCATTCGTTAGTTTCGCGGACTAATCGACGGATTTGCCTTGTAGGCGTATAAAATTGCCTATGGTCCCTTAGCACACTCGACAAGACGCCACGCTGAAGGCCGAAGCTATACGCAACGGAGCAGCGGTTAACGATCGGCGACAAATCGCACCCAAGCATTGGAATGCATCCACCGCCCCGCTGCGGTAATCAAACCATGTTTAGGTGAACTCACCGAAGTCATTCTAAACAAGAGCGAATCGGCATGAATTCACGATCAATCAACCCATCAATTCCGACTCAAATTCAGAAGTTGGTTTACTGCCATATCAGCGAACCCGCGACTCACTCATATCTGGAATCAAGTCAACAAGTCGGTTGCCAAGTCAAATCACCAACACAAGGAACCAGAACCCGGAACAAAGGGGACGAAAACGGACAAAACCCGGGGACTCGGCCGCAGAACCGAACCACCCAGGGTGGCCATCGGCGCCCAAGAACCGCATGCGCACCCTGAGGTGGCTCGGTGGCCGAAGCCACCCTAGAGGTGGCTCGCGCCAACAGTGTGCCGAAGCCACCCCTATGCAGGTGGCCTCGGCGAGAGCTGGCCGACGGCCTTAGCCCTGAGGTGCGCTCGGCCAAAGCCGACGCCACCCCAGGGTGGCTAGGCTTCAGAACTTGCGTCGGGCACAGTTCTGAGTGCCTATAAATAGGCCTTGTTGCTCATTTGTTTCAGAGGGGGGAAATTTGTTGGAGGAGGCGAAGCCCTGCTGCATTGAAGACTCGAGATCTAAAAAAAGATCACAACTAATTGAAGGCCTTGGAGATCTTGGACTTTCAGATCCGGTGCTCGGCGATTCACCACCGCCAAATAAGGCAGGAGTTCGAGAGATTGGATTTGAGATTTACACGATCACATCCCGGATCTAAGCTTGTTTCTTAGATCCCGAGATTCGGCGGTTGTTTCCTTGTCGGAGAAACAATCCCTCCGGCTTATATATTCCCTTGGTGCAATATTACCCGTCATATCGTGTAGATCCGACCGGATCGGGATCACGCCGGCTGGTCCACGGCAAATAACCCGGCGCAGGCAAAGAACCCACCAAAGCGAGCCGACCCGGCAAAACAGGAGCTCGCGATTTTTTTTTAGCTTTTTTTTTTTTTTTTTTTTTCTTTATTTTTTTTTTAGTCACAAATAAGGAAAATTGTAATTTTACTTTGTTTTCTTTCGATTTTCATTGTAAACGATCTTATAATGAAAAAAAAAAAGAACCGAATCTTTGTAACGCTCATAAAAGTTGTTACTGAGATAGCAATGATATCAACACATGAAGAAAGCTAGATTTTTCCACGCGGAACAATCTGGCGACCACAGTCGGAGAGCCAACAGCTTTTATCTCCTTCAACACATGTGGGATGATATAAAATCGCCCCTGTGTGTTCTGAAGTGCGTTTTGTCCAAGCAAAACAAATACTTTTAAGCGTCGATCCCCTCAAAGGAGGATGCTGGCTCTTCTCGAGGGTATCTCAAAGGATACAAACGAGGATCTGCATACAAATATAGGTGCATATATATGAAATTGATGGAGTACAATATTTAAATTCAAAAAAAAGAGTGAAAGAGATATACCTCCACACGAGATCACAGTAGGGGCAGCCTCCTCAAAGCTCTGAATAGTCGGACGGCTTCGGGTTCCTCGAGCTCTACGCGGCGACATGATGAGTAGATGATCTACAAGGAAATCCAACGAAAATGGTCATGGTTTTGAGCAAGAAATCGACCAAAACATCACAAAACATGGTCAGAACAGTG